CACTTACCCCATCTCGGGCAATCGTATTCCAGCAATTGACGGCCCGACGTACTTCTTCGGCTCCCGCACGTACGTGTGCCCTTCGTTTCATCCGTTCATGGCGCTGTCACGGCGTCCTCTGCATCTTCTTCGTCGCAGGGTATTAGTTGCAACCAATGAGCCCATGGTGCAGGCGCGCAGAATGCTGTGCTCCAGTACGCACATAGTTAGATATGTGAGAAACGGACGGTAGGGCATCAAGCTGAGTCTCAAGATAGTGAATCGCCCTGGCACTCGTAAACACGGTCAGGACAAATCGCTCAGTCAGATGATAGCGCCTACGCTTCATAAGCTCTATCAGTCGTCAATACCTTCCAGAAGAGGAAGCAATCTACTGGACAATGTGTGGGAAGGGAGTTTGTAAGGTTGTGTGAATCTCCAAGTTACGCGTGTGCATGTGTATGTGTGTGTGTGTGTGTGCGTGAGCATGTGAGCGTGAGCTATAGTCGGCTCGTAGAACGGTTGTACAGAGCAGACACGATGACACAAACGACAAAGATCTCAGCCCACATCACATTAAGGCAAGCTCAACTCACGTTTGGCTTGTAGACGCCGATGACAAAGGTGCTGTTGTCCAGAACCTCAATGTCCGTGTAGTCATCAGACTTGACATGGCATTGCTGTACACGCGTGCGTTGGGTGGTGGACGTAACAGGAAGCAAGGGAAAACAACGTCAGTTCAATGTAGCGAAAGCAACACCATGCACCAAGCAAGCCAGCACGCTCAGGCAAGCTAGGATCGGTGCCGCACAACAGCGCAAAAGTGCAACAATCACCATCATCACAATCACAAACGCACCAGAGGAAGGTCGCTGCAGTCCTCGATGAGCGATGCCTTGAGGTCGACAGCAAAGTCGTCCAGCATGGTGTTGTTGAAGGTCTCCAGCAGCTGGTTGTCGTTGCACGACACTGCCATGATGGCCTCAATGTGGAAGTCATCCTCCACGCACTCGTCAAAGGTGTAGCAGCTGTCGGCGCTGCCGCTCTTGGTCTCGCACTCGTACACCTCCATGCATGTCATGCCTGCATTGTGACACATCCGAAAAAGGATGTACATGGTAGATGCGAAAGCCATGTTTGTGAGTGATTGAGTGATCAGCAAAAACAACAGCAGCAACGCCAGCGGGCGAGTTCGTTTGCTTGCAAGCAGTTACTTGAACGCACATCACGTACGCAAGTACAGAAGAGTGTCAATCAGCACCATTTGCAGCAACAGCAAGGCGACTTGGCACTCACCCTCGGGGTCGTTGCATTCCTCAAAGTGGAAGCAGCTGCAGCCACCACCGCGTTCACACCCGGCTTGCTGCACGCCAGAAGCTGCGCCAGAGAGGAGGTAGTAGCCGTTGGTCGACAACACGGAACGTGTGCAGCCAGCGCGCGTCTAACCACGGACAAGGTGAGAATGAAGGGGAGTACATGACGGGTACGTGAGTATGTGATGGTGAGTAGTGAGTGGGGGACAACAGCGGGAATAAGCGTCATACACAACTGAGCACGAATGCACATCATGTACATCATGCACATCATGCACAGACATGCACATATACTGCAATGCACCGGATCACGTTTGCCCGAACGCAATCGCAGCGAGAGTGGCACACCTGGTTGGAGACGAATGTCGCGTAGTCGCTGACTTCATCCAGCAAGTCGTAGGGAAGGGTGGTTGTGGTCGTGGTGGTGGTCGACGTCAAAGGGACGGTGCTTGAACTGGAGGTGAATGTTGTCGAGGTTGAGGAAGTGGTGGCCCACTCTGTCGTGGACATGTACGTCGATGTTGATGGTGGCAGCGTCGGCAAGCGAGATGGAGGCGGTGCCTTTGTTGTTGTTGTTGTTGTCTCAGTTGTTGTTGTTGTTGTTGTTGTTGTTGTTGTTGTTGTTGTTGTTGTTGTGGTAGTTGTTGTTGTTGTTGTTGTTGTTGTTGTTGTTGTTGTTGTTGTTGTTGTGGTCATGGTCGTGGCCGTGGTGGTGGTGGTGGTGGTGGTGGTGGTGGTGGTGGTGGTGGTTGTGGTCGTGGTTGTGGTCGTGGTGCTTGTGGTTGTTGTTGTGATCGTGGTTGTTGTTGTGATCGTGGTTGTGCTCGTCGTGGTGGTGGTGTTGGTGGTAGTGGTAGTACTTGTAGTCGTCGTCGTCGTTGTCGTCGTCGTTGTCAATGTCGATGTTGACGTCGATGTGGATGTCGATGTGGAGGAAGACGGGGCCGTTGGAAGGTCCTGGAAGTTGGTGCGCGCACGCACACGCGTCTCCACCCGCAGACACTGGCGCACCTCGCGATTAGCTGCAAACGGCAACAGCGCAGCTCGAAACCTCTGCGCAATTGCATCGTCCAAGCGTGCAAGCGCAACCTCAACGTCATCGTGTGCGACGAAAACATCAATGTCAACAACACCACGCTCCTGTGTGTCGCACTGACGCGCGCCCACTCCTGGATACACCACCCGCTCGTCGGTGTACGTTTGCACGCTGTCAATCTGCGTGCGATGATCGGGCACGCTCAAGATGGCGTTAATTTCGTCTTCCAAAGCCGCAACTGTGCTGCCTCGCCCAGTCGTCAGGCGCACAAATGTGACGGTGGCGGTAACGGTGATCCTGGCGAACCGAAGCTCGCACAAGCCCGTGTCTTCGTTGAGCGTGTAGTCGTCCTTGCAAACGCACGAGAGGTGGCCCTGTACGGGCTTGCGCCGTGGCGACAGCCGTTCCACGCGCACCGCCCATCCTGTGTTGGTGCAGAAGGCCAGGGCGACGGCGGTGTGTCGGCGGTTGTCGTCCTGCGGCCGGGCGTTGGGATCAGAGCACCTGAGCTCACATGCGTCCAGCTGCACGTACTTGAACCCGCGGCGCCACTCAAAGCCTTCGTACTGCTTCTTGAACGTGCATTGTTCAACCCTCAGCTCCGGGTTGATGTTGCGGAGAAAGCCAGACAGCCGCTGGCGCCGTGGACGAACCGTTGACTTGCATCGCAGGTCGTAATCTGGACCAGAACAGCAGAAACAATGCGCATGGACACATGCAAGCAAGTGAGTGATTGGATAACGCGACCAGGATACTCAGATGTAGGCCGTCACCAAACCCTTCCTACAGCCGCCACAACACAACACGTCGCAACGCGACAGAAGGCGATGCGAAGCTTTGAATACCACCGACACACACTCACGCACACGCACGTCCGCACATACACGCACACACATGACGTGAAGCGCAGCAAGATGACACAATGAGCACGCACCAAAGTCATCTGTGAGTGGAGCGATCGCCTTGACATTTGTAAAGGGCGTGTAATCCGACGTGACAGCGCCTGTTGCACCGTCTACACATGTGTCAACCACAAGCACATGTGCGCGTATGCATCAGTCAGGTGAGTCGACGCGTTTGTTTGAGTGAGCATGAGTGAGAGCTCGCACTCGGGCTCACACACACACGCAGGCACGCACAAGTCCAAGCCCCCAAGAACAACAAAAATGGTGGTCATACAAGCACCCACACACCCACACACGTGTCTAACGTACATTGCGTGGATAGGGATGCTGCGCATAACATTAGTAGACAGAATGCCGTCGCGGCCACGGGCAATCGCCTCCTGTTGCTGGAGGTGGACTTGAGCATGGTGGCCGATCGATGGAAAACTGCGTGGCGTCGCTCAATGGTGAACAAAGCTTGAGCAGTCGACTCTGCCACGCCCGTCTAGATCGAGGAGCAGGGCTATGTGTCGAGTATGCAGGTTGGGAGGAAGGAGGAAGACCGAGAGCTCGAGAGAAGGAGCCGGCACGTGACGAGGGCGAGAGAAACGATGGGGAGGGGGAGAGGGAGAAGGAGAAAGTTATGTGGGCCGTGTCTGTGTGTGTGTGTGTGTGTGTGTGCGTGTGTGAGGAAAGGAAAAGAAGAAGAGAGCTAGCAAGTAGGAGAGCACTGGTGTCTCACTTTCAGTGAGAGGAGGAGAGGAGAAGAAAGGCACAGTGTCCGTTGAAACGGCTGGCGGGAACAACGGTCAAGCGAAATAAAGGAGGGGTTTGCTGCATTCGCGTATCACATCAAAATGGACACATTTTCGCATTTCACAACAGCTGCAACTGAATTCAGTCCTGTTTGTGTTGGTCAAGCAAAAGGGAGAAGATGACTCTGACTGAGGCCTCCTTGTGCGCTCTGGTGCGTGTGTTGGTGGTGTGTGTTGTTGGGGTGGTGGTGGTGGACGGCGCTGAGCTTCAATCCTACGATGGCAACGTGTTCATCGAAGTCTCGGTATGTGATGTCGTGCGATTGTGTATTTTTTGTGTTGTGTGCGCTTTGCGTGTGTGATTGTGTGTAGTATGTGTGGTTTTCTGTGCGGGACAGGCGAGCTTTGGAGCTGTGCGTTGAGTGGTGAAGCTTCGCGTTGCCGCAAAGCTGTTCGTACAAGTCATTGTGTCTTTGTGTGTGGCTCAACAGAGCGGGGCCGACGCGTTTGTGGTTCGCTCGGGAGAGGAGCCAACATCCCTCTTTGGTCTCAAGGACAACATTACGCGGACAAACGAGAGGTATTTGTGTGTGCGTGTGTCGTGTGTCGTTGTGTGTGTGTCGTTTGTGTGTGTGTGTGCGTGTGTGTGTGCGTGTGTTGTGTTTGTGTGCGCGCATGTACTAGGCGTGGTGGTGGTGCGGTGGGTTCCAGAGAAAACGAGCGAGCGGGAACAAAAATGTTGGCTTTGTGCTTGTTGCTACACGTTGTGGTAAACACTTCGGTTGACTAGTGCATCGCCTGTTCGTTCTGTCACACGTCATCACACATGCCGCCTCTCCCTCGTGCTTCTTGTTTTGTTTGCTGCACATATCAGGCTGGATGCGCTTCGTAGTGAAGTTGAAGACACGGCCAACAGCGTTGCCGCCATCAGCACAGCCCAAGTATGGAATCGTAAATATATGTGATGTGTTGTTTGGTGATTGTGTGTTGTGTTTGTGTCGTGTGTGTGTTGTGATTGTGTGTGTGCGTGTATTGTGTTTGTGTCGTGTGTGTGTGTGTGTGTTGTGTATGCGTGTATTGTTTTGTTGTGTTGTGTTTCTCTCTGTGCGTGCGTGTGAGAGAGCGAGCCATTGCGCGAGCGCATATTTGTGTTTGCGCCTCGCCTGCAACTGTGGCGTACATGCATTTGCGAGCACCAGTTTCTGTTCATCACACGGACACCCTCGTGGTCGTTCCCCCGCGACGTCGCCTTGCGCAGGAGCGCGTGCTTGCAAACGTGACGGAGCACGTGTCGTCCCTGCGTACGGCCATTGCAGATGTGGAGGTCAAAGTTTCCACCATGTCTAGCGAGACGAGTGGTGCTACCGCCTCCCTCGCCACCGCCCTGCAGGCTGCAGAAGGGAACCTCGATCGCCTTGCGCGGCAACGTACGTGCTAGATCGTGTGTGTGTGTGTGTGTGTAAGTTTGTGTGTGTGTGTGTTTGTGCATGTGTGTGCATGTGTGTGCGTGCGTGTTTTGTGTGCTCATCCTCCTCCTACTTGTCCTCCTTGTCATCATACACCACCACCACCATCACCTCAGACTCAGCCGAGCTGTCGTTCTTGGCCGGAAACTTCAGTTCGGAACTCTCCCGCCAGCTCTCAGGTGCGTTTGTGTGTCTGTGTGTGTGTGTGTGTCTGTCTGTCTGTCTATCTTCGATGTGGTTTAGCCGTGGTGCTTCTCACCTTGGGTGAGTACGTGGCTTACACACATGTGTGTGTGTGCCACTCATTGCAACCACCGTCACACCTCTGTGTGTGCGTGTGTTGTGCCGCGTCTGCGCATGGCTGGCCCTCTTCTTACATTCTTCCCCATATGTATACGCCACCACAGAGCAAGAGGAGGCGTTTGGAAACGTGATTGCGTCATTGGTCAGCGACACTGCCAGCGCCCGTGAAAGTTTGCGAACCCAAGTCCTCCAGGAAACGGAACAAAACGCCGCCAGCCAAATTGCAGCAGCAACAGCAAACACTCTGGCACCTGGCGAGCTCCCGGTACGGCACGTGTTTTGACAGGATGTTGGCGTGTGTGTGTGTGTGTGTGTGTGTGTGTGTGTGTGTGTGTGTGCGTGTGTGTGTGCGTGTGTGTGTGTGCATGTGTCGCTGGCTTGTAGTGATTGCCAGCCATCAAGTTTCATCACCACCATCACCAACACCACTATCACCACCATCACTGCCACTCTTCAGACTGCGAGCACGCTGCCGGATTGCACTGCGCAGACCACCGGTCGCCTCCGCTTCAAGGACAACTCAGTGCAGGTGACGACGATGATGATGACGATGATGGGTGGTGGTGGTGGTGGTCGTGATAATGACGAGATGTGGCGAGTAGGTGAAGGAGGGTGGTGAAGCAAAGCTGTCACATGCCATTTTACCACGTTGCACTCACGAGCAATCACACACACACACACACACACACACACACACACACACACACCACACACACACACACACACACACACACACACACACACACACACACACACACACACACACACATCACCACCACCGCCCCCATGGCTGCAGCTGTGCATTGAGGTGACGAGCGAGCAGTACCAATGGCGTGGCGTTGATGTGCCCCGACCAACAGGCCTCTCAACATCAGAGGTGATGGTGCCACAGGGAAGCGGTGATGATGGCGTGAAGGAAGGGTGATGAAGGGGACTTCCATGCTGTTTGTCAGTTCACACACAGACAGACAGACAGACAGACAGACAGACACACACACACACACACACACACACACACACACACACACTCACACACATCACCACACACATCACCACACAAACCTTAACCCCCCCCCCCAACACACACACACACACACACACTACATTACCACCACACCGCCGCTGTAGGCCGCGGCGTCGTGCAAAGAAGCGCTGGCGTCGCAGAAGGCGCTTGGGCTCAACATCGGCGATGGTGTGCACTGGATCAAGAAGGGTGGTAGCGGCAGCCCAACACAAGTCTGGTGTGACATGACATGTGAGTTGGCCACAACGGCCGCTCTGTGCGTATGCGTATGTGTGTGTGTGTGCGTGCATGTGTGTGTGTGTGCGTGCGTGCTTGCGTGTGTGCGTGTGTGTGTATGTATGTGTACGTGCTTGCGTGTGTTGTGGTTGCTCTTGTCATCCTATGCCTCCCTTCACTTCAGCACCAACCATCTTCCCCCCTCATTCCAAATCGCCACCACCACCACCACCATTGTCAGCTGACGGCGGTGGCTGGACGCTCGTCGCATATGCAGGTGAGGCGCCCATATACACGTGTGTGTGTGTGTGTGTTCGTGCGTGTGTATGTGTGCGTGTATGTATGTGTGTGTATGTGTGTGTGTGTGCATGTGTGCGTGTATGTATGTGTGTGTATGTTTGTGTGTGTGCGTGCGCAAACCTCTCGCTCTGCTGCTTGCTGACGCAGTGGAAGTATCCAAGCAGCGTTCACCACCACCACCACCACCACCAACAGGGAGCATTAGCGGCAACAAGCAGAACACCGCGGGCACCAGCTTTTTCTTCCCGCTGTTCGGGTCAGTGAATTCCACACAAGCAGCAAACACACATGCGCACATGAATGCATGTCGGTGATCACACACACACACACATACACACACACACACACACACACACACACACACACACACACATACACACACATACACACACACACACACACACACACACACACACACACACACACGGGCACTCAAGGCTTGACTCACATTCCCCTCCCCCAATACTCATCTCCACCCCCACCTCACCCCCATCTCAACTCTCACACTCTCCCTTCCCCCAATTCTTCCCAACACCCCACCCTCCGTGTGGTCCACGTTCATTTATACTGCAGCCATTACGGCACGTACGACCCTGAAGCGCCGTCCACGCGTTCCACGTTTTCACTGCTGAAGGACGCCATGTTTTCGCACCTGTTTGTTGCGTCAAGTCAAATCCTGGCCAAGCGGACCACAGTGCCGCAACACCAGATGATCTTCCCTGTTGCCAACGTGGACGACTACAACCAGAACCAGCTGCCGCCTGTGCCATACCTGCGGGTGACGCGTGATGGCACCAACTACTACGACCGCACCAACATCAACATCTTCCCCAACTACGGCTGCAAGATGCCGTGCTACACGGGCTACGATGGTGGGTGCTGGTGGTTGTCTTGTGGTGGTGGTGGTGGTTGTCTTGTGGTGGTGGTGATAATATCATCTGCCTTTTCCTGCGTGACTGTGAGCTTCACACACACACTCACACAGGCACACACTCACACACTCACACATACACACTCACACATACACACTCACACTCACACACATACACACTCACACTCACACACTCACACACACACATACACACTCACACACATACACACTCACACACATACACACTCACACACACACACGCGATGTGCATCACGACGCGTGATCAGACAACTGGTGCACGACGCTCGATTGTGACTCTTCGAACCAGGACAATGCCGGTTCATTCAACAGCAAAGTCTCACACAGAGGTGCGGTAACGCTTGTGTGTGTGTGTGTGTGTGTGTGTGTGCGTGCACGTATGTGCATGTGTGTGTGTGTGCATGTGTGCATGTGCATGTGCGTGCGTGCATGTGTGTGCGTGTGTGTGTGTGTGTTTGGTAGCCTTTTCTGTCGTGTGCATGCCGTCACATCACCACCATCTCCCACCACACCACCATCATCGTCGTCATCACCACTCCGCAGCCATGCTCTACTGGGAAATTAACGAGGGCAGCTACAGTGCGAGCCAGGTGTGTGTGTGTGTGTGTGTGTGTGTGTGTGTGTGTGTGTGTGTGATTGCACGAGGATTTGTTTTTTCGTGCTGTCATTGCCTCAACTTGCTGATAACTCGCCTCAACGCCACCACCACCACCATCACCACGTCCATATCCTGTCCCCCTTTCCCTCTCCCATCCTCGCCCGTGACCGTGTGTGAACCACCAGTGGTTCCACGCCACGCCCCTCAACATGCACCGGTCGTCCAGTGCAGAGAACACCGTGCAGGACATTGAGTTCTATCTCAGAGAGGTGCGCACGTGGTTTGTGTGTGTGTGTGTGTGTTGCGTGTGTGTGTGCGTGCGTGTGTGTGTTTGCATGTGTGTATGTGTGTGTTATCTTTTGTGCCACGTGCCGCGTGCAATATGCTGGTCCGGTGTTATCTGTTTCATCGCCCCATGCACCCCCCCCCCTCTCTCTCTTTCTCATGTCACACCTGTCGTGCCACATTTGCAGAGCACCACGTATTGATGTCGCCCAGCGCTCCGGGCGCTGATTCTCATGCCGCCTTTGTTACTTGTGTGTGCGTGTGTGTGTGTGTGCATGTGTGGTGGCTGCTGACTGCCTTGTGCGGGCGTTTCCTTGCGTGCGTCTTTTTCTTGCGTCCACACGTGCTTGGAGTGTATGTGGGGCCATATGCACACTTAACGGTGCGAATGCTTGCTCCTCGTGGTGTTTAATGTTGGGTGCACACGTGTGTGATGTTCCATCATGTTCCGTTGTTCTCGACATGCTCTGGCATTGCTGGTCATGGTGGCGTTTGCATCTGTCAGTGTGATGAGTTGGCTCGGTGTATGTGTGTGTGTATGTGTGTGTTTGTGTGTGTGTGTGTGTGTGTGTGTGTGTGTGTCACTTCATACAGCAACGCTGACAGATGCTCACCTCAGGATGGCTAACAGGCAAAGGCAAACAGGCAAAGACACACAGTCAGAAACACACACACACATACACACACACACACGCACACACACACACACACACACACACACACACACACACACACACACACACACACACAACACACACACACACACACACAACACACACACACACACACAGCACGACGAAACAAATAATTGCACAAGATGGTGAATGGCAGTCAGGAAGGACTATGGAATATCATCATTTCACAACACAACACTGCGCACAGCTAACGTAAACACCCTCCCCCCCCCCCCACCGCCACCAACCAAAGCTGCAAAAGCCAAAGATGGAAGAGCCTGTGGAAGAGTTCTCGGTTGTCATCATCGGTGCTGGCTCTGGAGGCCTCACAGCCGCAGGTGCAGCCCCAACTGTTGCTGTTGGTGTCAGGCTGTCGTGTTGTCACGACATGTTGCGGTGGCATCATCTACCCACCGACGCTTGGTGTCATGCCACACGGCACGTCGTTGTGCTGACGCACCGTATCGTTCTTGCTGTTTGTTGCCTTTCACAATGGCAGACTTTGCTGCGCACCTTGGCGCTAAGACGGCCCTGGTGGAGGCAAACCGCCTTGGAGGCGATTGCACATGGACAGGTATCATCTGTTGCTCACAGCGCCCATGCAATCTTGCAGCAGTGCTTACTTGCATGGACCTAAACACACACACGCACACATACACACAGTCTCACGCACACACACACACACACACACACACACACTGTCTCTCACACACGCACACGCATATTTATACACACATATATTCATACACACGCGCGCACACACATATGCACACACACGCATATTCATACATGCACACGCATATTCACACACACGCACACACATGCAAAAAACGTTGTCCCGTCTTACTGACTTGCGTGTGGTGGTGGTGGTGGTGGTGGTGGTGATTGTTGTCAGGGTGCGTGCCCAGCAAGGCACTGATCAAGGTGGCGAAAGTGGCACACACGGTCCGCCACGCCGCAGACTATGGCATCGAGGGCGTGCCTGACCCTGCAAGCGTAAAGGCTGACATGAAGCAAGTGCACGACCGCGTGCACGCCATCATCAACAAAGTACGTACGTCTGTGTTGTTATGTTGCGTGCGTTGCGTATGTTGCATGTTCTCTGTGACGTGATTACGCCTTCAACGCATGTGTGTGACGCTTTTCTTTTGCAAGACACCCGACCCACATCACCAACGTTCACAACCACACACGCACGCATGCACATCCACACGTATCACCAGGTGTATGAGCAGGAGAGCCCAGAGGTGTGGGAGAAGCGTGGCGTGCGCGTGTTCATGGGCAAGGCCGAGTTTATTGATGACCACCAACTCCGCATTCACAGCAGTGGTATGCAAGTTGCGTGTGTGTGTGTGTGTCTGTGTGTATGTGTGTGCGTGAGTGTGCGTGTGCGTGCGTGCTTGTGTGTGTGTGTGTGTGTGTGTGTGTGTGTGTGTGTGTGTGTGTGTGTGTGTGTCTGCGTGCGCGCGTCTGTGATACTCCACATATGTGTGACTCTCAGCACATACTCCCGCCGTTTCCATGTGCTCACTGGACTGGCCTGTCAAGACTCACACACCTACACTCACTCTCTCTCCCCCCAATACACACATGCAAGACGGTGCTGGCGATGTTGTCATCCGTGGCGATCGGTTCGTCGTATGCACGGGTGCTCGGCCCTCTGTTCCCCCCGTCATTGCAGAGAGCGTACGTCGCAGGCGCGGGTCATGCGCACTTGTGTGTCATGTGCGTGTATGCGTGTGCGTGTATGTGTGTGCGTGTATGTGGTGTATATCACCGTTCCGCCCTCTCCTCATGTCCTCCCGTTTACGTGATCACACATGCGTCTGTATGTGTGCGTTTGTGTTTGCGCTTGCGTTTGCGTGTCGTTCTTTGTTCACCATCAGGGAGTGGACTTCCACACATATGAGACCATTTTCAACGTGACAGAGCTGCCACCATCCCTCCTCGTCATCGGTGCGCATGTGGGCGTGCATGTGTGTGTGTGTTGCGTGTACCCGTGTGCGTGTGTCTTGCAATGAACCTACAATTCTTAAAACCCCCTCCCCCTGCACCAACCACACCCACCCGCACACACACCCACACACACACGCGCGCGCCGCAGGTGGGGGCCCAATTGGGTGTGAGCTGGGACAGGCGTTTGCTCGCTTTGGGTCGCGTGTCACCATTCTGTCTCGTCGGATTCTGGCAAAAGAGGATGATGATGCACGCGCTGTCATGGCTCGGGTCCGTTGGTATGCGCTGGTAGTTGTTGGTTTCGTTGATGTGCTTGGCGTCGCAAAGTTGTGTGTGTGTATGTGTGTGTGCGTGTAAGTGTGCGTGTGTGTGCGTGTGTGCGTGTGTGCGTGTGTGTGTATGTGTGTGTTTTCTTGTGTTTTCCCTGGCGTGAGTTCTTGCATGCACGATGCAATTCTCCACTCGTTGATACGTTCACAAGCACGCGCGTGTGGGCGTATTTGTTTGTTTGTTTGTGCTTGCGTCCGTGTGTGCATATATTCATTCATTCCTGTGTTTGATTACATGCGTGTGTGTGCGTGCATCCGTTCGCCCCTTGTAGGTGTTTGCAGAGGAAGGCATCGAGCACATCTCCGCGCACGTGTCAAAGGTGGAGAACACCGAATCAGGGCAGATCAAAGTGTGTACATGTGGGCGTGCATGCATGCACGTGTGTGTTTTACATGTGAGAGCATGCGAGTACGTGGTGGTGATAGTGGTGATAGTACGTATGTGTGTGTTTGTATGCAGTTGTCACTGTGCGTGTACACACGCACATGCATTCCACACATCGCCTCACCACCCACCAAACATTGCGTCTCCAACTGTCTTCATTCCACCGCTTGCGCGCACTCGGTGATGACAGGTGACGGCCGATGATGGCAGTGAGATTGTTGTTGACTCGCTTCTCGTCGCCGCAGGAAGGCAAGTCTACAGTCTGCGGTCGTGTGTTTCATGTCACGGGGTGTATGGAACGTGGATTGTGTGCTGCTTATTTGCGCACTTTATGTGTTCGGCCATGAATGCCTGAAGTCACATCACCCTCCTCAGCAACAACTGTTGTGAGTTACACTCACTCAGTCACACACACACACACACACACACACACACACACACACACACACACAGTCACGCACCTATGTGCATACACCCATGCACACCCCCCCCCCATGCACACACACACCCATGCATACACACACTCTCACACACTCATTCACTCACACACACACACACATTCACTCACACGCACATATACACACACTCACGCACGCATGTGCGCACACATATATCATTCGCACGGCCTGCAGGGCGCCCGTTGTTGAGTCGCTCAATCTCCCTGCTGCGCGCGTGGAATTTAGTGCGGATGGAATTGACACCAATCAGTACCTGCAGACATCGCGCAAGCACATCTACGCAGCAGGTGTGTTTGTATGTGGGTCCGTCTCTCGTGGCCTGCAGTTGCATTTGTTTCTTCATCTGTATTTTCGTGCATGCACTGTCCGTGTCGTGTACCTCAACCGCCATCATCATCATCATCATCATCATCATCATCATCATCATCATCATCATCATTACGAAGGGGACTGTGCTGGTTCGGAGCAGTTCACGCACTACGCGGGCTGGCAGGCGTTTATGGCCGTGCGAAACTTCATCCTGCCATCCCACTCCCGGGGGAAGTCACACATCGTGCCACGGTACAGGCAGCAGTGGCGATGATGATGATGATGATGATGATGATGATGATGATGATGATGATGATGATGATGATGATGATGATGATGATGATGATGATGATGCTGGTGATGATGATGATGATGCTGGTGATGCTGGTGATGGTGGTGGTGATGGTGGTGGTGGTGGCGGTGGCGGTGGTGCACGCGAATAGCACTCCACTGTGCTTGTGAGTGTAAGTGTGTGTGTGTACGTTTACTCGTGCTATGTTTGCACATGCTCACGGGTCAAGCGCGCCTGCATCTAGAGAAACGAAGAATCGACCTGCAGTTGACACGCCGCCGCATGTGTTTCAATTCCATCTCACTGCCTCTGGTTTAGGTGCACCTTCACTGACCCCGAGGTTGCTTCCGTGGGGATGACGGAGAAGGAATTCACCGACACATACGGAGGTGGGCGGCGTGCGAATGGTGACTGTGGTGACCGCGGTGGTAGTGGGAGATGTGTTGGTGAGGAATCAGCACACACGTGCACACACACACGTACATACACGTGCACACACGTGCATACACGTACACACACGTACATACACGTGCACACACGTACATACACGTACACACACGTGCACACACGTACATACACGTGCACACACGTACATGCACGTACACACACGTACATACACGTGCACACACGTGCACACACGTACATACACGTACACACGTGCACACACGTACATACACGTACACTAACATGCATACGTATGAATACACATTTCTCACAAAGCATTGCATGTTCTCTTCCCCCAACTCCCCCCCCCATGCGTGCATGTGCGCTCATTCAGCCAAAGGGCGCGTGTTCAAATGGCCTCTCAGTAAGGTAACATACCAACAGCCAACGCGGACGTGTTGTTCATGCTTGCATGCAAGCAAACGTGCGCGGTTTGTCGTCATCAGCGCTCACACACACGCGCACACGCACACGCACAATGTCGCCACGATGACAGATTGACAGAGCTGTCACTGAAGGCGAGGAGACGGCTGGGTTTTACAAAATCATGTTCACGCCGGACAACAAGGTGTAACGTGCCAACGTGCAGTTGCGTGAGTGTTCATGCTTGTGTGTGTATATGTGTATGTATGTATATGTGTGTGTATGTGTGTAGGCTTTCGTGTGTAAGTGTGTGTTTGTGTGTTTGCGTGTGTGTATGTGTGTATGTGTGCAACTGTGATCTTGAGCTCAATGTCCCTCATCACCACGCGTTCCTCCACCACCGTGTCTCAACAGCTGCGCGGCGCGTGCTTCGTGTGCCAGCGCGCAGGAGAACTCGTGAACGAAATTGCACTCTGCATGGCCAACGACATCAAGGTTGTGCATGTGTGTTTGTGTGTGTGTGTGTGTGTGTGTGTGTGTGTGTGTGTGTGTGTGTGTGTGTGTATGTGTGTGTGTGTGTATGTGTGTGCGCGCGCGAGCGTCCATGCGTATGGTTGCAGCGTTTTGTGTGCTGATGTGTATGCGGTTTTGCTTATATCCCTCATCCCCCTCACGCCCCACTTTCTTTACTTACGACAACCCCGCCCCAATCCCTTCCTCACCCCTCCCTCTCCTTCAGGTTCCCGACCTTGGTAAAGCCATGCACAATTACCCGAGCTTCGGTGTTGGTCTCCAGCAGATGTGCGCAGACGTTGCTGTGGAGGGGCTGCTGACTGGCCTCACAGGTCGCATTGTCAACTGGCTCAAACGCACGTGACAAGTGTGTGTGTGTGTGCGTGCATGCGAGTGTGTGTGTGTGTGTGTGTGCGTGCATGCGAGTGTGCGTGCATGTGTGCATGTGTGTGCGCATGTGTCCATGTGTGTGTGTGTGTGTGTGCGTGCGTGTGTGTGACAGTTGCTTTGCCCGGTGCTTGTTGGACGTCACAACACAGTCACAAGTCACGACGTTCGTGTGCCCCTCCCCCTGTTTGCAGTATTACCGCCATTACCTGCGCTTTCTTTCACCTCTTCCTCGTCGTCACCCTGTTGCCTGTTACATGTGCATTCTGTTCACGGGGGCCCGAACGCAGTCATGCCTCGAGTAAACGAACGTTTCTCACCCTTACGCTCATGCGAACACACAGTCACGACCACGACCGCCTACCTCCTCGTCCCACCAAATGAATGGCTGTTGTGTTTGGTGTACTTGGACGACATGAGAGACCAGCGACGAGCAGCAGGGGAGGTACACGTGCCACACACACGCGTCAAAGGCACAGCCCCCAACACGTTTGTGCCTGCGCTGATGCCGGCTGACTCACATCAACTCATTGCATTGACACAACAGTGTCACGGGAATCAACAGTCACTGAGAACAACGCTTTAATCGGCCACCATGGAAACAGCGCAAAGGGGCGTGGTAACAGCAAGTGTTGGTGGAGAGCGGATGGCGGACACTTTCTCCTTTTGGAGCGTAGCGCAGTGCATGCAAGCACGAACAGAACAACAAAACCGTGCAAGTGCACAAGAGCATGTTGTGGGTGGCGGAGATGGTGGGTGGTTGGTTGGTTGGTTGATCGATTGAGTGGTCGCGGGTGTGGAAAGGCAACACGAATCTACAAAAGGAATAGAACGACACACGAGGCTGCAATGCAGCAAATGCGGGTGATGGGAACGAACGAAAAAAGCTACCAGAGCAACAAATGAGGCATGTGATGGCACGTCGCACCAAACACGGAGCCAAGCCAAGCCCATCAACAAGGCTGGCAACGGTTCAACAACAGAAACAACACAGTTGTTCGAGGGACGCCAGTGGAAAGCAACACCCAACAGCGGCAGTCCAACCATCAAGGTAACAACAAAAACAGAATCGCAACAGCGAACAACATCATCGGTTGGCGTATGGAGAACACATCCACTCATGAATAGGTAGGTATCAGGCACACGTGCGACGCGCAATCATGCACGCCGTGCAGCAGGGAAGCGGTTCAAATGACGGTCAAAGGTACACGTGCTTGCTGTTGGGAGAAACAGCAGAGCAAGCGTACGACAACAACAACAAGGGTCGGTGTAGGAAGTGTGTGAAGGAGAGCACACGTGTAGGCCACATGAAGAAAGGAAAAAAAGAAGAACAGAAAGAAAGTGGGGAATGCGACAACACCACGTGGGGAATGCGAAACACCGTGGCGTTTGCATGAACAAATTGAACAACCATCAAGGGGCGCAAGGAGGTTGCCAAACCACACCAAGCAAGGAAAAAACAAAAGAAATGTATGAGAGAGAGCGAGTGTGTGTTTGGTGGAGACGATAGTGTCGGTTGTAGGGGACATGTTGGAAGTGGGCATTGCAATGTGGCCACCAGGAGCAACCACGAGCAACCACCAGCATCATGTCGCATCACGACGATGCAATGGAGAAGCACCGCCACCACCACCACCACCACAACAACAACAACAACAACAACAACACCAAGAGCAAAGTTGACAAGCAAAAGGAGAGCAGTGAGTGGTCTTTGACAGCGTGGCCTAGTGCATCCGGTTTGGGATGGCAGAAAAAGGACAGTCACACGGGATGACTGTGTGGAAAGTAACCAAGGGCGATTGTGTGTAACAGTAGTGCGTAACAAAGCGACCGTACGTTCGCATCGGTGCTTGCAGGCAAGGAGGGGCTGGAAGTTGCGCCAGCATGGAAAGGTAAACAAGAGGCGAGGGGTGTCATCAACTAAAAACAGCGTGTGTGTGTGTATAACTGAGGGCCAAAGTGCTAGTGGATCGATGAGGGGGAAAGGGAGGAAGGAAACTAAAAAGGGAAGGCACAACTTCGACAGAGATCGTGCGCACACATCACACGTATGGAAGCTACTTGATTTGATACACGAATGTGTTGCAGGAGAGGAGATGAGAACGGTTAATGCGAATGAAGCGAGTTGCGCAGAGGGGGAGAAAAGGCGGTGGTGTTGTGAACACGAGAGGTTGGTGGTCGCCAGCCACGCACACAACCTCAACACGGATTCATTGCAACCACGCACACAAATGCACCCTCGCTTGCTTGCAAGCTCGCTTCGAGCATCCATCAGCCCCACCCACGCATGCGAATGTGGCATTCATTCATTCATGGCAGGGGCGATGGTGGTTGTGCCGGTGCGACGGGCCAAAGGTTGAGCTCGGCACCGAGATAAGCAATGAGGGCTGCTTGCCGGCCAATGGACGGGGAGAACTGCCATGGCTGGATGGGCTGCGTTGGCGAGACCTCAATGATGGGAATGTGGGGTCCAATTGTGGCGGGTCGCGGGCCACGGCAGAGGAAGGGGAAGGCCGGGTAGACCTCCGAGAAACGTTCAAGGAGGCTCTCAAAGCTTCCACACTGCAGGCACTGCGCGCACACTTCAAGCTGGCGCTGCATTGCGGCGTAGCGGGCCAGTGATGCCGTGGCAAAGGGAGAAGCAATGCCTGCATGCACGGGCTGCTGCATTTGCTCCTCGTTGACGTTGCCGTCATCAGAACAGTCCATGTCATTGCTTGCGCGTGATGGTGATGATGGTGATTGCGCCTGCTGTTGCGGGTGTGCTGGCGGTGGCGTGACTTCACCGCAAGTCATTGCGGCGGTTGGCGATGTTGTAGCTTGCAGGGGCCGCGCTTCCTGCTCCTGCTGCTCGAGCTGTGCGGAAAGGCACATGATGAGCACGCTCATCAGCTGGGGCAGGTGCTCCATGACGTGTTGCTGCCAGGACGACGCTGCGGGTGATGATGGCGATGCTGGCGCGTTGACAAACCCAAAGGCGCTTCCTTGCTCATGGCCGTGCTGCGGCTGCATGCGTTGGTGGTGTTGCTCTTGATCATCGCGATCATCAACGTGGCGGTACTGGTCATCGCCGTCGTCGTCGTCCATAGTTTGCTCAAAGAGGCGCGAGTCGAGAAGAAACGCCCATAGGATGCCTGTGGCCAAGTTTGCGTCGGTGATGTCAATCCCATATGCATATGCAAACGAGTCTGGCGTCGGGGATTCAACAGGGTCCGCCGGCGCTGTTGTCGTCGTCGTTGATGATGACGGTGTTGCGTTCGTTGTCGTGGCATTGGTGGCTGCCGTCGTCGTTGATGTGGAAGTCGTCGTCGATGTGGTCAGCAATGACTGCTCGCCGCTCGGTGCGACCTCCTCTGCTGCTGCGTCCATGCTGGTGCTGGTGCTGGTGCTGGTGGTGCTGTGCGGATCAGGGAGGCACTGGGTTTGCTGAAAGGCCAAGGACGACGGCGCTGTGTCAGCGTTGTTGGTGGGGTGGGTACGCATGATGGTGACGGGGCGCATTCTACGTCAAGTGTGATGGACGTGCGCCACGCGGTGCCTTGTGGAAGAGGAACAAACAAAGATCGGGGAGGGGAGGGGGGAGGCGGCGGAAGGAAGTCGAACCAAAGGTGGCAGAGAAGAACAACAACTGACAGTTCGATGGGAGGAACAAAAATGGATCAGATGAAAGGCTGGCAGGCAGGCGCGCGTGTGTGTATGTGTGTGTGTGTGTGAAGGGTGTGTGTGTGGAAGAGGAGGGAGGCTGCGACTTTCGGGAAGGGGAGGTAGGGCACGGGTTGGTGTTTAGCTGCAACGTTGGCTGCTTTGATGGTGTGTAGAAGTGTGGGGATGGCGTGCGGTGATGTCCAGAGGTTGCGGTGTGCAAGCCTGACGTCGGCGGGCTGGTGCGTGGAAAGTGGATGAGTTGATTGATTGCTGGAGTGCGGTGGCACTGGCTGGCACTGAGGTGCTGTGGTCGTTGGTTGCCGTGGGTGCGGAACTTGCGTGTGAGACCCACGAAGGTTGGCTTGGGTGCTCCTGGTGGTTGAGGGCGGGCGAAGGGGGCTTGGTGTGCGGTTGGTGGCGGTTGAAGGAGGCTGGTCAAAGGGGTCAGCCAGTGAGTGGGAGGCCAAGCGGGGAAAAAGGGAGGAGGAAATGGTGGGGTGGGGAAAATGAAGGGGTTGGGAACAACCGTGGAGGAAAGGAGGTGGGAGAAGCAGAGGTGGAAGGGCGCGGTGTGCGCGTTGGCTGGTTGGCTTGTGATATGCAACGAGATTGGAACTGAGGCTGTGGGTGCCGATGATCAAGGAAAGGGGGGTTCCTTTTCGTGCGGTGCGGGCTTGCTTGTTGGATGGAAATGAACAAGCCGGGAAACCAAGTGGAAAGCGGGGGGAGAGGAAAGCAACACACAGTACGACGCAACAATGCAAGCGACGGCAAGCAAGCGCGTGGAAGCGGGGAAGTGTATTGTGAAATGAAACACAACCTCAAACGAAGCGCCAACAAGGGAAAAAAAACGGAAGAACAAGAACAGCCAGGAAAGCACAAGAAGAGGAAGTGAACAAAGAGACAAGGAGGAGGCAAAGGTGCCACAACCTGCACTTCTTGGACACGGTGCGCGCGCGCGGTGGTTGGATTGGATTTGCGACAAAATGTGAACGGCAGTCAGTCAAGTCAGTTCAGTTGATGAGTGAATTGGATGGGGGAGCTGGGAAAATGGTGCGTGTTCACAAACAAGAGGGAGAGAGGGGGTGAGGTAGTGTGTGTGTGTGTGTGTGCGTGTGTGCGTGTGTGTGTGTGTGTGTGTTCACATGTGGGCTGGAGGGGAGTTGACGGGAAATGGGTGTTGTTGTTATGAGCAATGCAAGTCATTGGTGTTGTAGTGACAAGGTGCAAGCGCGCCGCTCGAAGAAACACATGTCCACCCACCAACCACCCTCCGAAGGTCTGCATGTTTGTCGCACCTTGCTTAGCTGGCGACTTTTGGGCTATGACAATCGAGCAAGCAAGCAAGCAAGCAAGCAACGGCCGATCAGCCTGGTGTCGATCCTCTCCCCAACAACAACACAGCAAGGCGGGTGGGGCTTGCTGCGCTGTTGCCCAAGCACACACACACACTGCCTGCTGCCTTTTGCTTTTGTGGTGGGTTCCGTTGCCACGCAGTGACCATCTTGATGGCGCGTTGTCGCGGTTGATGGTGGTTGTGCTGGGTGTGTGCCAAAGGTTTCGCTTTTGCTTGCCGTATCTTGTCTTCCTTGCTCACCTTTTGCCCCCCACTTCACGGGTGCTTGCTCAATCCCCGCCTGCTGACTTACTTGCTTGCTTGCTTGCTTGATGCCTGGAGTTGTGTTCTGATTTGCATGCGCCTGAGCCTCTCAGCACTCACGTCATCAATGGCCGAAGGTTTTGGGGCGGCCGTTATGTTTAGCCAACCGTTCTGCCACCGCCATTCGGTGCCCACTTCCGGCCCGTTCCAGGTTGGGTCATGACGGATTCGCAACACTAACGTAATTCAACGGACACGTGCAGTCATGGCAGGGAGAATATTTACCCAAGATATTTGCTAACACTCGCGTCCCGTTTAAACACTTTCGCCCCTTTGACCCGTTGCATGTGCACTTCGAAACCTTTGCCATTTCGGAATGTTCTGAATGTCAGCGCAGGCAACTCTCCCTGTCAACTTGCGCGCGTGCGTGCGTGCTTGCACGCAGGCACGTGCGCAACCAAGACTGACCACACAACCCACGCTTTTGTTTCTGGCCTGTCTGTGTTTTGTGCTCGTGTTTGTCTGCCTGGTTTCCTTGCTTGCTTGCTTCTTGTGTTTGTGTTTGTGTTTGTGTTTGTGTTTTGCTTGCTGTTGTTTTTCTGGGAAGTTCCAATGTGTTGCGTCACATGTCACTTGCTGTTGCTTCTTTGGTTTTCTCGGTGTGCTTTTTGTTGCTTTGCTCTTTGGGTCAAGAGCAATTGCTTAGTTGCTTCTCGACGTTGCCAGCTCGGAGTGGCGAGTGGTGGGGGGCGTTGGGTTGGTGACGCCTCGTGCTACTTTGATACCTTGACACGCTGGCATGCGATGTACCGGAGTAACGCCGCGGTATTGCTACGTGTTTGGTCGTGAGGCTTCCAGAAGCCTGACAACCAATCACAGCAAGCACACAAACAAAGAAGCAAAAGAACTTAAGAAGGGCAGCCCGTCGTGTGCAGAAGTAATGCAAAGCGCGGGCCTTGCTGTCTTGCTGCTGCATCGCCCCTTCACCCAGGTGGTGCTGCATTGGTCATTTGGTTGTGTGGCAGCCTCTCCGGCTTGCCCTTGCCAGTCACTCTGCCTCCACTTGTTATGGGTGCGCTTGATGTGATGTGACATGATTCTTGCGCGTTCCTCTGATCTAAAGTTTGGTGGGCTCGTTTTTTCAAAACCTGCATGCGCGCGAGCACGCGTAGCGTTGTTGAATGCAAATGACTCGACCAACACCACACGGCCCTTGCGAGCGTGCGAGGGGCACTGTGGTGATGATGATGTTGTGGCCTGGTGTGGCTCGTTGAACATGTCTTGCTTGACAGGAGCATGATGATCCGATATGATGGATGTGTGTGTGTGTGTGTGCGTGTGTGTGTGTGACGATTGTCATGTTACAGTTCCTTGTGTGGTGGTCTATTGTTGGCTTGCGATCGATCAAAACACAACACAAACACGGAACAACAGTGGCGGCACGCAATCATCAAACAAGAGAGAGAGAGAGAGAGCCGCACTGCATCCATCAACCTACTTACTAGCCATACAAAGTAAACAAAGTCACGAAGCGCGGACATAGCGAGTAAGGGGGTGCGCGCGTGTGTGCGGGGGTAAAGTTTGTTGCAGCCGCGACTCGACGCAGAAGTGCAACGCAAGCAATGCTTCCATGCATGCATGCCGAATCCGGCAAGTGATGATGATGGCGGTGGTGGTGTGGTGGAAGGAAGGCAAAGGGAGGGAGGACAGAAGACACAAGGCAAAGATGAGCAGGTACAGGGCGAAGGTGCAGCAGCATGCGCCATCACCATGCATGCCATCATCGCCCCGGCAACCATCCCAGAATAGTACAACAAAACACAACATCATTGCACCGACAGAAACACAGCAACAGAGAGCAGGAGGAGTAACAGAACAACATGGGTGCGATGTTGTAACACCATCACATGGCGCATGGCGCATACATGAGCAACGTCATGGAACACGAAAGTAACGTGTGTGCGTGTGTTGTGCGTGTGCGTGTGCGTGCGTGTGCGTGCGTGTGTGTGTGTGTGTGTGTGTGTGTGTGTGTGTGTGTGTGTGTGTGTGTGTGTATGTGTGTGAGGGTGTGGATGGCAACATCAAAACGAAGCACCGCCATCCCAAGCAAAGCACTCCAGGGGGTGAGGGCTAGAGGGGTAGACAGTCGTGCGTGCAAACTACAGGCGTAACTTTGACGAGGTCGAGAAAACGAGACAGAAAAAAGCATAATGGACAAACAAGCAAAGGCCTCTTTATGGAAAAGCATGACAATACTATAGAAGAAGAATGAAATACGAACAGCACAAAAAATACAGCGTCAAACGTGGAGTCATGTGGGGTGTATCACTAAGTAGGCTGGGCGTGTGGTGTGTTGGTATCTCATCACTGAGTGTACAAAACTAAACGCAACCAAAAATAAATAAGCATAGTTGGTGAGATCACTGTACGATAATTCAAAGCAGGGTCAAGCGTGACTAGACTAAGAAGAACGCAGACGCTATTCGAAGCCTAGCTGACGTTCGGCATCATACGACGAGAAGACTGTACGGGTCATGCGACTCGAGATAGCTTTCGTACGAGACCGACGTACCACTAACAAAACTCATTCAAATGCAGCATGCACTAGAGTCTACGATGGCTC